ACTGAGTATATAGAATATTATATAGAATAAGGACATTTTTAACTGTTCAGATGTGGAATAAAAATGAGGACGAGGCTAAGAGGGGATATATATGGCGGGGATATAAAAGAGGTATGACTGACTAGAGTTTGAGTTAAATTGTTTGATGATTTTGTATATAGTAATTAGATGCCATTTGATTTTTGCAATTTTGAAGCAAAGCTGTACTTGATGTAAATTGTATGTAGGTGAACATAAAGTCTTTAAAATGGTCAATTCTTCAAAACAGATAATATAATGCCTTTTCAAAAGATCACGAAAAAAAAATTTTTGCAACAATATGAGAAGGCCCAAGTCAGTTCTGAAGTATGCCACTAGAAATGTTCTTTTTCACGTCTCAAAAAGTTCGTCAGAGAGAATTTAAGTCACAATTGGATGGACGTACCTTATTTAATAGTAGTAGTATCAAAAAACCTATTTTCAAAAAAAAAAAAATATAAGAAATCTTCAAGAATTGCTTGAAAAATGATTCCGCACTAACACCTACTAACAATACAATCGTTGTTATAAAGATAGCAATTCCACTGTCGCTAACTCCAATGCCAATCCTTCCAAATAATAAAAGAGCTTTTGTGGAAAATACCACAAACAATGTTCAAAACAATGATGAGTAATGAATTAAAACATTATCGATAATTCTCTCACTACTCGAAATAATTCTTCAAGTAAAAAAAATTTTATTCAGAGAATCCTAACAATGATTCTTAATTAATACCACTTCTACTAGCATTGACCCATTAGAAAACGACATTTCAGATAATGATGATGACTTGGAAAAAATAAAGAAAGTGGGCGTAATAGATTATAATTTATAATCAAATTTTTTAAATATGAAGATTTAAATTTTTATTAGTATTAGAGATTCTTTTTTCCAAGTTAAATGTTATTAAATCACAATATATTTGAAATTAAGTCTGAAACCAAGCATACAAATGAAGCATCAAAAGGATAGAATTCTTCAAAATAAGGACATTGGTTTATTAAAAAGTACAAAAAATAATAATAATAGTAATAGAACATATTAATATTAAAATGGGGATAATCAAATAATTACGGACGGACCTTATTCCAGAGCCCTCGTTAGATTTGGCATTGTCACGTGTTACGGTTGAGAGTATTATTGTTATATACAACTATTATTATCACTATTTCAACGGCATAGGGCTTCTATTCGAATAAAAAAAAAAGTAATTCGAATAAATATAAAACGAATAATTCGAATAGGGAAATTAATATTAATATTAATTCGAATAATAATAAGAAAATTAATTCGAATAAGAAAATTAATTCGAACAAGGAAATTTTGAATAAAGCAAATAATTTGAAAAAATTAATTCGAATAAAACAAATAATTAAGGTCCAGTTTAAATTCAAGCTCACTGGAAAGATTGCTATTTATTAAAAGAAACATGAATC